GATATTTGCCATACCGCCTTTACTATAACCGCCTTTATAATAATAATAATATATTGGTAAGGGGGTAGATATTGGGGTGCGGGTAAATTATAACAAAACCGAAATTCTATAAAATACAAATTTGGCGACACTAGCTCTAAAGATGTAGGAGATAAAATTAGATGACAGATTTTCGATAAAGTTTTTGATCGAAAACAAAATTACGTGAGTACTGACTTTAAAAAAAAAACTTTATATTATATTTATATTATATTTTCAATGGGTTCAGGGTATAACGAGTAAGAGTGCTTGAATAAACAGATACAAAAACACATGTACATATACATATATACATACACATGCATCGATATGACAAACTCGTACTGCGAATGGTATACACAAGTATGCATGTAAAATTTCAAGTATATAGCTCCTATAACTTGTGAGATCTAGGCGTTCACACGGACGGACGACCGACAGACTGGAAAGATTATATCGATTCAGCTCGTCGCTCTGATCAAGAATATATCTACTTTCTGGGCTCTGCGATGCTTCCTGCTGCCTGTTACATACATTTCATTAAAACCATCATACCCTGATATTCCATTTTCAATGAGGATGGATATAACAAGTAAGAAAGCTGTAGTCGAGACTGCACACAAGCATAAACACACATGGGCTGCAGTGTGCGCTTACTATGAGAACTTAATTGTTTAATAACTTTTTTTGTGGACATACGATCTTGAAACTGTTAGATATGCATGTATTTGCCAAAGCACAAGTCTCTAGTATTTGAAATACGTTTTTTACAAACATGGTGGTGAGGGGGTGGATATAGGGGTGGGGGGTAATATTTAACAAAAAACCAAATTGTAGAAATTGCATATAAGCATACATAAAAAATTTGGAGACTCTAGCTTTAAAGATGTAGGAGATATAATTTTATAACTGGTTTTCGATAAGGTTTTTTATCGATAAAAAAGATCGGGATGAGTTATCGATTTTTAAGGATAAACTTGATATCTGCACTGTAATTACGGACATTAAAAAAAAAAAATTTGAAGTCTCTAGCTCTTATATCTTCTAAAATCGACGCGTTCATACATACGGACAGACGGACAGACGAACGGACAGACAGACGGACAGAGCTAAATCGACTCAGCTCGTCACCCTGATCAAGAATATATACACTTTATGGAGTCCGCCACGCCTCCTTCTGCCTGTTACATACATTTAACAAAACCACTATACACTGATTTCCCATTGAAAATGGGTTCAGGGTATAAAAAGACACAGAGGTAGAGGTAGACGTAGAGTCCTCAAATTTTAAATGTAGATTCATATGCACTTTATAGAATATCGATTTTTGTTATAATTCATACCCACCCTTATAACCACCCCCTCATCATAATTTGTAAAAGGCGTACTTCAATTACTATAGACATGAGCACTCATTTTAATGTTATAATCACGATCTAAAATATTCATGAAGATAGTCTATCCAGAAAAAAAGTTATGAAACCATTATGTTCTGATAGTACGCCCATAGTAGCACTGCAGCCAATGAGTGTTTATGCGTGTGTGCGTATGCCTGTTTAGGGGCATGTGATGTTTCTCGTGTAAAGAAGCGAATAATTATTGAAATATCAGTTGCTCGAAGGGTTTAGGGCTGAAATGATAACCTTCAGATGATAGCTTAAAAAATAATGTTTATTCCTCTTTTTCGGCGTGGCATTCGGAAAATACCCCATAATTTTATCTTTTTCGGAGCGTAAGCATCTTTTCTTAGACTACTTCTAAAAGCTTATAAAAAACAAGTAAGAAAGCTCTAGCCGAGTGTGATTGATTACGAGGTCCCCTGAACCCTTCGAGCAATAGCTACATATTTCAATAATTTTTCGCGTCTTTTTGCTTACACACACACATACACACAAGCATACACAGACACATACACACACATATACACAAACAAGCACCCACGCATAAACATGCATGGGCTGCACTGTGGGCTTACTATGAGAACTTGATTCTCGATATTCGCGCTGTAAATACGGATATCGAGTCCAACTACAAAATTCATATGAGTGCCAGACTGCAACGAATTTACTTGTTATAGAGCTAAGCATTTTTCTTTCAGAATGATCAATTTTACTTTGGTCGGTCAGTCGCAGCTGTATGGGGGGTCAATGGGTTCGAGATTCAAATGATTAATCTATGTACAGTGATCTTCGGTTTATTTATGTTAATGAGAGGTCCACTTGATGTCACTTGCAAAGTGATGGCCGTGTTTTTCGTTTTCACGCTTGATATAATAAAAACACACTTCAAGTTTCTCATGATGAATATACACGGACGTCTTTCCTAAGTATTTCATAAGCATGTTCATCCGAATATGTATTTGTATATGTATATGTATATGTATATGTATATGTATATGTATATGTATATGTATATGTATATGTATATGTATATGTATATGTATATGTATATGTA